TCCTCCGGTTTTGTAAATTCCATTACATGTAAATCTATAGAGTCTGCACATATTGAATGCTGGAGTATGTAAATCAAAATACTGACTATTGTATTATAAGAAACTTTGGCATAAAAAGGAAGATGTTGAGTTTCGTATTTAAGACAATCATATATAATATTGTGTAATACAATAAAAGATTCTATATCGTCATAGGGAAATATTGATGTTAATTGAATGGTATGCTACATTATTTTATTTAACAGTAATTTGAATGTTTTAATTGAAATACGACTGCTAATATATATTTATAAAATTCTTATCACACCGGATAGAATTCCGATGGCTTCGTTGATAAATTGAATCCGGTAAATTTCAAATAAATAACAGAAGGTATTCACGATTTCAAATCAACTTTCGAGAAGTAACTTACATGATTGAGCGATTTCTAGTTCCAGTTCCACCGTGTTTGGAGCATCCAAAATTGCAATATCTTTAACGTCTCCACTACTTGCCGAATGATTGAGCGGAATTGCAATAATTGAATTTGTTCACCTCCATCGACATCACCCATTGCTTCTATTGGAAGGATCCCGTTTGTTTTTCCTAGTGGATGTTGCGTCAAACAGGAAGGAGAATGAGGGTTGAGGCAGTTATGTAAATTAGGGAAATTGAAAATTACTATTACACCCTTAATTTAATACAAGCCATTTGATTAAAAATTGTAATCCAATGGCTAATATGCAATCAACATAATGTTGATTCTAAATGGTCAACATCCAATACTAGCTGGATACGTGAGCCTCTCTATCTATAGTTGTCTGTATCGCTGAAAAAATCATTCACATTGTGCATGTTGGCCTCTTCCCACTCAACTGTAATAGGCGGTGCTTCCATTCGTTCAATGATTGGAGGATTGAGATAGCGTTCATCTTCTATTATCACATTATGCATGATGATACAAGTAGTCATCATATCATGCAAAATATATTATTGCAAAAAAAGACCAGGTCCAACAATTATTCCCTAAGAACACCAAATGCACGCTTAATGTCTTTTCTACACGACTTCTGCTTTTGTGCAAAAATTTTCTTCTTCGGACCTCGTGGATCATGAATAGTTTGCACAAGCGTTGACCATTTCAGATAAATAAGAAGTTAATCGTTGAAATGACAAACATAAATAGAAACTATCTATTCTTTTTCCAAATTTGAATCCTTAAAAGAAGGATATGGAATTATATAGATGCTAGTTCATGTTTTCACTCTCGTGTTAGGAATAATGGACAATTCTTTTGATGATACCATCAGTTAAATAATAAATAACATTTTTTTTCCCTTTGATAACATAGCTTACCGGAGGAGAAATTCCACCAGTAAAATCTTAAAATAAATGTGGATTCTCCAACGTTGATATCATTGCTAGTTTCTGGTAAATCAAAATATGCATGCCAGATCCAAATATCATACTCTCCCATTACTTCTAGAATAATAGTTGGTGAATCGCTTCGACCTTCATATGCACCTTTTCAGGCAGTTGGACAATTTTTTTCATTCTTAATGCATACAATCTAAACTACCCAACATACGTGGAAAACCACGAGATTCATCAATATGAAGTAGTCTTGCAATATCATTAGTATTTGGTGATCTAAGATATTGCTCAGAAAAAACTTCCACCGCAACATGAGAAAAACTTTTACACTCTCAATGACCATTGAATCACCTATTTTAACATATTCGTTAGTTTCATTTGTTGTTGGTACCATATGCTAACACACGAGATACAACTGTTATTTTTTGATAAGGTGACAACCCAAGACGACGAAGTCCATTATATTGTTGTTGAAAAAATGAATAATGTTGTTTAACTGCATAAACAATATGAAGAAACAATCATCAAAACATTTGAAAACGTTGGGGAAAGGTTCATTCATCAAATACTGGGTTAGGTGCAAAGTAATCATTAAATAAATTACGAGCAGCTTCTTCACGATTACGATTAACAACTTAATGACCTAGTACAAACCCACGACGAGTTGGTTGTTGTGTATTGGAAAGACGACCGAGACAAATATTATTTTGTTCGATAACTGAGATGACTACCTTCACACACTCATGGGTATTTTCTAGGATGTGTTGGCCAATTCCATCATCTTCCGACGAGGATGTTGATGAATAAAAACTTTGGCCAACCACCTTCGAAGGCCCTCAAATGTTAAAATTCATTTCTAAACTAGATAAATTATATATATATATATATTTGGTTGAAAATTGTAATATATGCTACAGAGGTGATAATTTATATAAGATGTATAAGGATAGTGTTAGGTAAATCCAATGGCTTTCATTTGATTGATCATGTTAGGTGGATCCAATGGCTCTCACTTGATCGATCGTGTTAGGTAGATCGAACAACTCTCATTTGATTCATCGTATTAGGTGAATCCAATGGCTCCCATTTAAACGATCGTGTTAGGTAGATCGAATGGCTCTCATTTGATCCATCGTGTTAGGTGGAATGTGGTAGTTGGCTCATGGTAGGTATGATGTGGTAGGTGGATCATGATTTGTCTATAATAGAGGGTTTTGTTTCATATCCTATACATCACATTTGTCTAAAATTAAGAAAAAAAAATGTCTTCTGAACATTCTACTGATTTTTCCCATGTTAAAGATCAGTTGCTTTACATCCACTAATCAAACATCTGTCATATTTTGGACACGAGGGGCCGAAGCCTACAATGCACCGAAGGATAAAGAATGGATTGTATGTAGTTCTCGATCAGTGCAGACTCAAATAGAAAAATTACAGAAAGAGGTCAAACAATTTCTTACTTGTATAAAAAAACAAAAAAAAAAAAAAAAAAAAAACTGAGAGTTTGCATCGCAGTGGTGCATCGGAATTGAATATAGTAAGTATCTCTTTAATTTTCATTGTTCTAGAATTTTCATAAATTTGTAACAGTAACTGTACTTTTTCTTTCAGTTGTGAGATGCTAGAAAATGTTTGCTGGAAAAAACAAGACGAGTTTTAAATATGATCATTTTTATGATCAATTAAATTAAAATTTTGAAAAATTCAAAGATCACAACGAGTGTGTGTCTTCTAAAAATATTTATCGAAAACATAATGCAACACATATCTCGTTGTCATCGGACCATCTAACTAGCGATTCTCCTATACTATTTTCATTTTCTATTCATCTAGAGGATGAGTGTGATGCTGGAGGATTCTCATTCACTTTTATTGATATTGATATTGAAACTCCACGAGAACACACACGTCCTACGAGAATAAAAAAAATTAAAATGAAAAAAAAATTGATGAAACTTTGCATTATGATGTTCAAACCATGATAAGTAACACCTCAGAAGTTTTCAAAACTTTTAAGAAAATCATATGAACAAATTAACAAGTATACTGAAATTAAAAAATAAAAATTAGAAAATGTTTAAACGTGATGATAGAACTTTGACAATAGATCTTAACGATATTCCAAATACAAATCTTCGTATGCAATATTATATCAACAATAAAATATCATAAGAAAAATAACAACACAATATCAATCAAGTTCGACTCGTTCGTTCTTGCAATTCTTTGATGGCGTTGGTGGAAGTTGGGGTGACTTAGGTTCGTAATAAGTATTATGTCTTTTTTGTGTAATGATTATTTTTCATTTAGTATTTGTATTATTGTTGTTTGTAATATATTTTCTTTTAATTCAGTAAATGTTGTTGCATTTTTTGTAATATATTGTTGTTATATTTCAATGTACTATATTGTTTTTAATGAAATCAAGACGCTAAATTTTTTATTTATATTCGTCAATTAAATTTGTTTATCAATATTTATTTTATGTATATTTACAAGATAATTTATATATTTTTATATATTTGCAAATATAAAATATTATTGTGTGATAAATACATAAACAAAATACATAATTTTTTGTCAAATAATTACTTCGAATTTATTACAAACATTCTAATGATTTACTGAAAATTTAAATATATTTAAAATATAATTTAAATTATAATAAATTTAAATCACTAAATAAATAATAAAAACTACAAATATACATAATTAAAATATAAAATTGCAGATCGGTCCCTATATAATTAAAGAGGGACCAATATGTAATTCAAAAAAAGAAGAACAACATCATAAAATGGCTTGTAATAGTGCAACACCAAAAATGATCTTGCATCGTAATAAACACCATAAATGGTGTTAAAAATGGCGATGGATTGGAGGGTCCCAACTTCATTACACTCAAATTTGATGCTATGATTTCCAAAATTAGTAGCCACATGATTAGTTGCACCTCAGTCGACAACCCAATGATCATTCAAAGTACCAATGGTTGTTATTTTATACAATGTGCGTTTGCTTGATGGTTGTAGGAAGCTGCACGTATTAACATTTACATAGAATGCAATTGGTTTAATTACAACTAAAATTTTATAACATGAATCATCCCCTATGACATATTTACATTATTACATGGCTATCTGCAGCAAATATATAGTAAACTTATAAAAGATTTTGCAGCTAAATATTTAAGAATATTCAAAAGAACTTGTGACAGTAAGGTCTCCGATTTAAAACCCGACAATCGTCTCTTGTGTTTGCTTGCGCACTATACATGACTTGCTTAATATGTCTACATTATTAGTGTTGTTTGCAGGTTAATGCGTCTTCAATGAAAATATTTATACATTTTTAATAAATTATATACTCCGTCCGTCTCATTTTTTATGTCCAGTTTATTGTAAATATTGAAATTTAGGTAAAGTATAATTACTCAGTAATTAAAAAATGTATCAGTTAAAATAATTATTGTACAATAAAACTAGTTATAAATTAAAATTAATATAACTAAATAATATAATTAAAATAAAAAAGTTATAAATTATAAAATTTAAAATATGATTAAACTCTATAATTATATTTTCTAAAAAATAAATAACAACTAAGATGGGACGGACGAAAATAAAAATAGTCGGCGAAAAAGGTACGACCAAAGAAATATATTTCTAACAATACATAACAAATTTTCTTATATTACAAGTCACTCACTCGGCGGCGTCAAGTTCTAGTGTATATATATAGCAACCAAAAGAAATAATAAATTACAATTAGTTATATATATATATAGAATGACTAACCTTTGGGGGAAGTGGTAGTCTCCTCCAACTCTCTTAAGCTTCCAACCTTCTGTTCAATCTCTTCGATCAACTCTTCACGCCATAGCTCTGCTCTTGCTCTCTCTTCAATATCTTCTTGCTGCCATTATTAATTTATTATTTATTTAATTAATTTCATTTCATCCACATGCATATATATATATATATAATATATAGGGTCGTTTCGGACTTTTTTGGGGCCCTGAGCGAAAATAAAGTATAGGCCCTATAAACACATGAGTAAAATATATTTTCAATATAATATCACTGATTGATTTTGATTGAATAAAAGGTTGAATATGACCGTCTGAACAATATTAATTTGAGAAAAGAAGACGAAAGAAAGTCTGTCCGAAAGTGCGAAAAGCGAGAAAGATTAAATAATGATGAAAGAGATAAAAGAGAAGGTGAGACTGGTTTGGTTTGAATTGGTGGGGGCAATGCGATAGAGTGTGAGGTAAAGAAGTGCAGACGACGATTAAATTTGAAGGCATAGTTAAGAAGAAAGAGAAAAAAAAATATATATGATTAGAATTTTAAATTTAATTTTAAAATTAAATAGAATAATTATAAAGAAGAAAACAATATAAACTAAAAATTAAAATTTAATAATAGTAATGAATAATATTTTAAAATATGAGTTCTCTATTAATTACGTGCATGAACAGTTGTTGCTCCTATTAGCCGCTCCTTAATATATATAATGTAGATTATTACAGAGAGTATATTTAATTTAATGCCATGTTAGCTTGTTATGCACTTTTATACCATCATGTGGTCAGCGGCAGAACAAGGATCGAATTAGAGGGGGGACTAATTTTTTAATTAACAAAATAATATTCCTTCTATCCCGAAACAATGGAGATATTTTTGTTCGGCATGATATTTAAGAAATAATAGTATTATATAGAAAGTGAATATAAAAAAAATAGTAAATGAATAAAATATATTTGTGAGTATATTAGTTTTTACCCGCTATCAATATATTATCGATATTTCTTAAATCTTGTGTCCAACACAACCAAGACTATAGTTCCAATATATTATCAATATTTCTTAAATTTCGTGTCCAACACAACTAAGATTATAGTTCCAGGACGAATGGAGTATTATTTATTCAAAATATAATTCTTAACACTTATTTATATTATATCAAACACTTATATTCTATTCAAATTTTTACAATGTTAATATTAACTCAAAATTACAAAATATATTTAAATTCTCCTTACTCCAAACTCTAAAAAATACTCCAATAACATATTCTAAAACACTACTTTAAATTATATGGATGTGTATTGTTCTACTCTTTTTATCTCTAATCAATTGCTAATATTTCTTCTTTTTGAATATCTCAAATTTTTTGTAATTTTCTTTATTTACATTTTTTTTTCTCTTACCATTTTAAATACAATTTATAATATTATTTAGAATGAAAAATAATAATATATATCATCTTTAATACAATATAATCTCTCCGTCCATATTCTAATGTTCTATTTGATATTTATACTCATTTTTAGGCAATTAGGATTTTTATTATAAAATGACAAATTTGTCCTTAATCTTGTGTATAAAAAATGAAAGAGTAAATAAAGTAAGGGTAAAAAAGTAAATTTTGTCTATAAAAATAAAAAAAAAACAATAATTGTTGAACATTTAAAATAGAAAAATAGAACGTTAAGCTATGGACGAAGAGAGTATAAAATAAAACAAATAAATAAATTCGAACATTATTATTATTATTATTATTTGGGTACCTTGTCGTAGACCCAATGGCCTGATCCATCGCCACCATCGCCTCTGTAATGTTCCGAATCATAGTACGGATCCTACACAACCATTTTATTATTATTAACATATTCAAATAAATATATTTAGGGGTGGATTATTTGTTGGCGGGTCAAATCAGCATGATATTGATTTGATTCAATCCGTATACATTATAAATATATACAATCGTATATGATATATAGTACTTTCTCTGTCTCTTAATAAAATATTTATTTTTTTATTTTGGTCCGTTCTATAATAAAGTATATATTTATATTTTTAGTAACCGTATTATTTAGCTAACATTCTAAATAACGTTACAACTTACAATATATTACACAAATGTCATTACATTTATATCACACAATACTAATAAAGTTATTTTAGTCATTTCTACTTTATTCATACTACAACCCAATATAATACTAATATTTATAAAACTCCGTGCAAAAAGCAAATAGATACATAGGTATAGGACGAAAGGAACATAATATATTATATTCCCTCCGTCCCATAACAAAGTATCAATTTTTTCATTTTAGTCTGTCCCATAACAAAGTATCTATTTCTTTTTTTAGTAACTGTACTATTTATCTAACATTACAAATATCCTTACAATTTACAATATATTACACAAATATCATTACCTTTATATCACATCATACTAATGAGGTTATTTTAGTGATTTCTACTTTATTCCTACTACACCCAATATAATACTAATATTTCAAAAATTACGTGCAAAAAACAAACAGATACCTAAGTATGAGATGGAGGGAGTAATACAACATATATATTTTGTTATAACATAACATATACTTTGTTATAACAATATATTTTGTTCTATATAAAATTATATTCCTTCCGTCCTAATACAATAGTCTTGTTTACCATTTTTGTCTGTTCTAAAATAAGTCTCATTTTCATAAATAATCATATCACCATGAAACTATCCCTACTTTTTCATTATTATTACATAATTGCTACTACTTTTTATACTAATATACTCACACGGGCAAAAAAATTATTTATCCATATTTTTTATCAACCACAAATATAATATCAATATTTCTTAAATACCATGTCCAACACAATAAAATTATACTTTTGGAACGAATGAAGTATATTATATATTTTTATTATATAAATTGATTAAATCAAATCAGAATCATACTCATGTGACCATTTAACATCACATCCTAGCCCAATTATTTATAACAATTAATGTTTTCCTTCGAGTTTTTGAAACTTCAAATCTTTTTAATAGAGCAAAAATATATATTTAATTTGAGTTTTTTAAAAATTATTATAAATAATAGTATCAAAATTTTAATATATATATATATATATATCAATAGAGTCTAATACTATCTCTGTCCATTTATAAAATTGACATTTGTTTAATGTGTTTTGATCATTAAATATTAATTATAATAATAAAATATAGTACACATTAAAGGAAATAACAAAAATAAATTTATTTGTATCTTGTAATATAAATATAATGATATTTGGATAAAAAAATTATGCAAATATAATTATATTTTTTAATATAAATTACAATAACCTAAAAAGTAAATATAATCTTATTAAGTAAATCAATAAAGTACTTTTTACTGTTTTACCTATCTACATGCATGTAATATATGCTCATTTGCAGAAAAAAAAAAAAAAATCTTAATAAATGTATAATATGATAAAATGAACCAATTTAGTTCCTCTATTCCTTACTAAATTTTTTATTTTTTATTTTAATTTGTTCAAATTATAATTTTCTATTTTTTTTAAAAATATTTATCAACTAAATATTAATTTTTTTTATTTTTATATTATTTTTAAGAATAAAATAAACATTGCATTATTTTATTACACTATATATCTATAAAATATTATTATTATTAATTATTATTATTATTATTTTTAATTCGCATGCAAAAGTCAAACAAAGAAATTACCATCGGATGAAGAAAATATATACTCTCTTCGTTCCGCAAGAAGGTTGTCATTTGATTTTTGCGTCATTTTACTTAACATTAAAAATATCTTTATATTTAAATAAATTACTCGACAAATATCGTTGTATATGTATTATAAGAGACTAATAAGCATATTTTTATTTTTTTATTTTTATTTATACTACGTATTGATATAATAATTAATATTTAAATATCAACACGAAAAAACCAATGACAACCTTCTTGCAGGACAGAGAGAGTAATAAAATTATAGTACTTCCTCCGTCCTAAAACAATAGTCTCATTTTCATAATAACCATATCACTATAAAACTACCCTTACTTTTTCATTATTATTATACAATTGCAACTATTTTCTACATTAATACACTGACAAGGGCAAAAAATTCTTTACCCCTTACTTTTTACCCACTACCAATATAATATAATTATTTCTTAAATTCCATACCAAACACAACCTAAACTATAATTTTGAGATGGAGAAGTATCATTTAAAAATTAATACTTAAAATAAAAATAAGTAAATAAATAGGGATGTAGAGTGTGTAACATAACTTAAGACAAAACCATCAAATCCGAATGTCATATCATAATAATAAGACTGATTTATCAACAGAAATGATTTATTTAATTAGAGCAATATATATCAATTACGGCAAAATTGTCCATAACTCACTTGTGGTTTCGAAACTCAGCGTAAATTCCTCATCTACTTTAAACATTGCATGACGTCCTCTTATACTTTAAAAAATAAATGTTGCATGAAACCACTTTGTGGTTTCGAAACTCAGCATAAATCCCTATTTTACTTTAAAAAATTGCATGAGGCTCACTTATACTTAAAAAAAATTGCATAAAACCCCTTTGCCATGCAAAACATATAGATAGAAAATCATCTTCTTATCACACGAGGAAAGTTTCTTTGTGGTGGAGTTTTATGCAACGTTTTTTAAAATATAAGGGGGTACTATACAATTTTTAAAGTATAGAGAGATTTTACATTGAATTTCGAAACTACAGATAGTTATAAGTAATTTTACCTATTAATAAATAGAAAATAAAATAAATTGTACCTTCATAGAGCCAAAGAAACAGCATCCCCAGCAAACGAAGAAGATGTACGCTGCATCTATAAATTCATTACACACCAAATTAGTTCATAAGTAACACTATATCTAAAGTTTTGGAGTTTTAAAATATTTCAAAAATGGTAAAAAAAATTGGTTTATGTTTATTTGTGAGTTTTCATTCTATAAGTTTTATTATTTTAAAAAAAGATTTCTCACTAAAAATGTGTTATTCCCTCTTATAAGATACTCCCTCCGTCTCAAAACTATAGTCTTAATTGGGTTGGACACGATATTTAAGTAATATTGATATTATATTGGTAGTTGGTAAAAAATATAGATAAAAGACTTTTTTGCCTTTGTGAGTGTATTAGTGTAAAAAATAGTGGCAATTGTGTAATAAAAATGAAAAAGTAAGGGTAGTTTTATGGCGATATGATTATTTATGGAAATAAGACTATTGTTTTAGGATGAATAAAAATGGTAAACAAGACTGTTGTATTGAGACGGAGGGAGTATTTTTTTAAAAAAAAAAGAAGAAAAATTTATTTATTCAAATAATATCAAAACTTTTTAATCACTTTGATATTTCAGTAACTAACAACAAAAATATTACTCAATCTGTTCCACTTCCATCTCTCCATTTTTGTCTTACTTATTCTGTTACTTTAATTTTTTTAAAAATAAAATTAGACATTTTAATCTTATTTAAAATTTTTAAATTTATATATTTTTTTAATTATAATTAGACTAATTAGTTATCTTAATTTTAATTTAAAATTATTTTTATTATAAGATAATTATTGTTAATAATACATTTTTAATTATTTACTAATTACACTCCTCCTAAATTCATGTGTCTACGGTAAATGGAACATGATAACCGGGACCGATGGAGTATCATTTATGTTTGCTTAGGTTAGTTATTGAAAAAAATAAAAATATTATTAAAATATATTTTTATATAAGTTTATCTAGAAAAATTAATGGTGAGTTATATTGCACTCCTTCCGTCCCATGTAATATATGTGTATTACTGTAGACACAGGAATTTAGGTAAAGTATAATTAGTAAATAATTAAGAAGTATATTAGTAAAAATAATTATAGATTAAGATTAAGATAAATAAATAGTTTAATTAAAATTAAGAAAATTATAAAATTTAAAATTTAAAATGCGATTAAAGTGCATAATTATATTTCCAAAAATAGAAAAGACAAGTTACGTGAGACAGACGAAAATAAAAAATAAAGACAAATTATGTGGGACGGGGAGTAATACTTACAAACATTCTTTATGGCTTGATCACTGAGATGCCAAATAGACTTGTAAGTAATGAGGTCTCTTTGTCCCTCCATGTGTTCCACCATCACAGCCATCAATGGAACCCACGATGCCTTCATTTTAACATCTCGACCACACCTAGAAATCCTTTCCTCACTTCTCCAACATTCCCTAATCTACGCAAAAAAAAATAAATAAAAATTATATAACGCCCCACGTGTTTTATTTATTGCGTGAAATTCACTTGCGTTAATGTAAAATTTGTTATCCTCATTATCCAAAATTGATATTTGATTCTAAATAAGAACCTAAATTATACAAGTTTTATGTAAATATAAAACGTAAAATATCTTAAATTTTTTTGAATAAAATAAATAAATAAATAAATAATTGATCATTCATTTATTTTTATAGTTTTATAAAAGTCAGATAACAATTTGTCTCCAAAAACTATAAAACGAAAGATTAATCAATTATTTATTTATCTATTTTATTCACAAAAACTATTTAAGATATTTTGCATTTATTATTTGTATAAAACTTGCGTAATTTAGGTCTTTATTTAGAACTAAATATCACTTTTGGACAATGAGGTGTTTCGTGCAAATTTTACATTAACACAAAGCGGTTTTACGTAGTAAATAAAACACAGACTATTTTGTGCATTTTTACTAAAGCACAATGAGGTGTTATAGAATTTACCGTAAATCATTCGATAGTAATTAAGCATGTCCTAATAGATTAACCAAGATTAATTCAATATAATTTTCTAGGGTTTACAGTCACATCCTTATATACCTGATGATTCAAAGTGGATCCGCCATAGCTGAATCTTGAAACTGAGCTTTGCCTGAGCTGAATCAAAATCAAAACAGAATAAATTATCATAATCATCGTCATCATCATCAGGGTTTGTGTGTTGAAGATTGTTTGCTTACTGATATTTTTGATAATGGAAAGAGATGATGAGTAGATTTGGTAGAAGTTGGTGGGAAGACATGTTGGAGAAGAGTTAGGGTTTCAGCCATTGTTGAAGAAGCTCTTGGGAAATATGAAATCAGATAGAATCAGTCATCGGTTGGTTGTGTCGTTCTGTAAGAAGCTGAAAATATGGATAAGATGTTTGTTTGTTGGTTCGTTTATTTCTATCACAGAGTTTTAAGGTTAGTTATGTTTGATGGGGGTTGGGTCTTATCTCTTGCGTGAATTGACCACATTGTCCTTGGAACTAAATTTTTGCATAAAAGACGACTGCACATAAAAATAAAAAGGGAAAAAATTATTTTGGTTACAATATAAATAAAATTCATCAATTTTGATCCCAATATAAAATTTTTTATCAAGTTTTGGTTCCAATATAACCAAAACTCATTATTTTTTATCTCAATATAACCAAAACTATCATTCTTGGTCATAATATAAATTTTTTATCAATTTTAGTCTCAATATAACCAAAACTCATCATTTTTTGTCCCAATATAATCAAACTTTATCTTTTTTTGTCCCATCGTCAACAAACCGACGGAAAATACTGACGTGGACTTGCAAAATTGTACAATTTTTTCATGTTTGATTTCTTTTCACGTCAGCAAAAAACAATAAAAAATATTTCGACAGAGTTTTATATATTAATATTGTAATATTACAAAAGCAATAATGAAGAAAATCAGGGAATAAAAAAATTTACAAAAACTATGATAATTCCACACCTATTTTTTATTTTAAAATAAAAATTGAAATTAAGAGAAGAATTTCATATGGATAGTTTAGATAACTTAGCAAAATGTGATATGTTGGATGTCGAGTTTGCCCCTATTTACCGATTTTAGTTAGACCATTCGTAATAGGTATCTTCACCCTCTCTCTTCGTTATGACCATAGATATGTTTCAATATTTTAAACCAACGATAAAAGAAAATTCATCTCCATTTTTTTATTGATCTTTCCTTCACATCATTATACATACTGCTTTTTCAAAAATTTATATTTTATAATTTTATAATATATTAATAATAATTTTTTTTTTTTGTCAATATTTGATTTATCAATAATTTATTAAAACAATAATGGATATTTTTATATTGTTTAATTAATTTTATTCTCGAAACAAATTTTTTTATTACTGTAGTTATTATTTGTTAATTGATAAATCAAAATATAGAGGAAAAATTATTATAATGTTGATATATTTAGTAAAATTCACCCATATTTGTATTTACATGTTTTAAAATTTAACTTAATAAAATATATTTAATATTAATACTCCTTCCAGGTAAAATCAAACAATGAGCTAGAAATACAGTATTTGCAAAAATTAATATATATGATTTTTGAAAATTAAAATAGATTGTTTAAATATTTTAACACTATATGTCAAATAAAATATATATAATATAAATATAATTTTATAGAAAATAAAGTTTTCTATACTAAAAATAAACAAAAAAAATGTCATTCGTCCTGGGTAAGAGGACCATTTTTTAATAGACAAAGGAATTTAAATAGTGTATATTAGTAAGTTATTAATATTAAATTATGATATTATTTAATTATTTTTTATATGATTAGTGTTGTTGTGATTTAAAAAATATAAATGATTAAAATATGCGTTTAAATATTTACAGTATTATATCTCAATAAAATACTCTTTTTGTCTCTTATCTATATATATATTTGCTTTTTGTACAAAGTTTTAGGAATATTAATATTATATTAGAGTGTGGTATAAATAAAGTAGAAAAGATTAAAATAACCTTATTGTATTTGTGTAATATAAAGGTAATGATAATTTGTGTAATATATTGTATGTTGTAAGGGTATTTTAAATGTTAGTGAAAAGTACAGTTACTAAAAATGAAAATGAATAATTTGTTATGAGACGGACCAAAATAAAAAAATAGATAGATTGTTAAGGGACGGAGGGAGTATATAAGCCTATCATTTTGTAGATAATAAAACTTTACATGATACAAATAAAAAAATGTATATATTGATAATTGACTTAAACTAGTTATTATTAAAAATAGAAAATTTAAAATGTAAATAATATTTATTTATTTAAGAGAGATAAAAATAAAAGATTTTTTAATGAATCCTACGTGTAAGTGACTGGTCCCGCAGTTAATCAAATAATTTACCTACTTTGTGATCACAAATTAATGTAATACAGAGGAAAAGATCGTCTCCACACGAGTCAACACGAGTCATTTCAGCGCGCTTCTGTCTTCACTCACACGCACCCTGGGAGATCTCCCCGAGGTCACCCATCCTCAAATTACTTTAGGGTAAGCACGCTTAATTCTAATTTTTTTTGGAATGACTCTCGAAAAAAAATATGCACATTGTTAAAATGAATAATCTATTCAATTCATTTAACCTCTAATCAACCTCGGATAGCATAATACCGGCTCATTCGCACACGGGAGTTGGTCAAGTAACGACCCAAATCCGGGGATATTAAGCCCTCCCTCACTTTAGAATGGAACGTCCACGTTGCACCCTAAGAATTCTCAACTACTAGGTCCGACAACAGTTCGATCGATGATACCAATTGTGACACCCCAGCCCACAAACCACGCAAAGCCGGGGGATCGAGATTGTAGATTGGCCCCGCAGGTCAACACGAGTCTTTTCAACGCACTATTGTCCTCGCTCATGCGCACCGTGGTAGACTTCCCAGAGGGTCACAAATCCTCAAATTACTATAGGGCAAACAAGCTTAACTCTAGAGTTCTTTCCGTAAGACTCTTGAAAAATAATATGCACATTACTGATATGAGTAGCATATTCAATCTATTTAACCTCTAATAAACTTCAGATGACCTAATACCGGCTCGTCCACACACGGGAGTTAGCCAAGAAATGGCCCAACTTGAGGGTATCACGTCCGGTGACACCTCGGCCCGCAAACCACGCAAAGTTGGGTGTGCCGAGAATGTAGACTAGCCACATAGGTCAATACGAGTCCTTCCAGTACGCTTCTGTCCTTACTCAAGGGCACCATTTGAGACTTTCCAGGGAGTCATCAATTCTCAAATTATTTTAGGGCAAGCACGCTTAACTCTAGAGTTCTTTCAGTAGGGCTCCCGAAAAGAAATGTGCACATTGTTGACATGAGTAGTCTAATAATTCCATTTAACATCTAATCAACTTCGGATGACCTAATATCCACACATTGGAGTTGACCAAGCAACGACCCAACTACATGGGGTATCACATCATGTGACACACCGGCCCGTAAACCACGAAAAGCCGGGCATGTCGATATTTTAGACTGACCGCCCAGGTCAACACGGGTCATTCCAGCACACTTCTGTCATCACTCACACGCATCCTGAGAGGCTTCCCAAGGGTCACAATCCTAAAATTACTCTAGGACAAGCACATTTAACGCTAGAGTTCTTTCAGTAGGACTCCCGAAAAGAAATGTGCACATTGTTGACATGAGTTGTCTATCAATTCATTTAACCTCTAATTAACTTCAGATGGGCTAATACCAGCTCATCCACACACGTGAGTTGACCAAGAAACGGCCCAAGTCCAGCGGGTATCACATCCTTCTCCACTTTAAAATGCATCGTCCACATTGCACCCCAAGGATCATCAACTGTTTGGCCCCTCAATAGTCAGGTCAATGATAGTAAACTATCGCTGGTCGGTTTTGATATCAACTGTGACACCCCAGCCCACAAGCTAGGCAAATTTGGGCATATTAGGATCGTAGACTGGCCTCAAAAGTCAACACGAGTCCTTCCAGCACGCTTCTGTCCTCACTCACGCGCACCTTGAAAGACTTACCAAGGGTGTCACCTATCCTCAAATTACTCTATGATAAGCACACTTAACTCTAAAACTATTTCACTAGAGCTTTCGAAAAGGAATATGCACATTGTTGACATGAGTAATCTATTCAATCCATTTAACCTCTACGCAACTTAGGATGGTCTTATGTCGGCTCATTCGTACACACGGGAGTTGGCCAAGCAACGGCCCAACTCGGGGGGGTATCACATCCAGTGACACCCTAGACCACAAACGACTGAAAGTCGGGCATTTCGAGATTGTAGACTGGCCCCACAAATCAACACGAGTCCGTCCAGCGCATTTTTGTCCTCACTCATGCGCACCCTGAGAGACTTTCCAAGTGGTTACCCATCCTCAAATTACTCTAGGCTAAACACTGTTAACTCTAAAGTTCTTTCCGTAGGGCTCCCAAAAGGAAATGTGCATATTGTTGACATGAGCTGTCTATGCAATCTATTTAACCTTTAATCAATTTTGGATGGCCTAATACCGGATCATCCACACACATGAGTTGGCCAAGCAATGGCCCAAATTCAGGGGGCATCACATCCTCCCCATTTTAGAATGCAACATCCACGTTACACCCCAAGGATCGTCAACTACTAAGCCCCTCAAACTCTTTTCACCCTTGAAAACCTCTATGTTGAGCTAGCCTAGCTCGTCGAAGCTTTAGTAACTGCCACTAACCGCCATATAACCGTCGCCAGAGGCTATGTTCTAAGAATTCCGATATCCAATCGGAAAACTGATTGCAGTATGATGGTCACCACCCCTAAAAATCTCTATGCCAACCCCTCCACCGCCCACGACCCGCTCTTGGCTGGTTCCGTGAGGTCTCCGGAAAGTGAACCTCTACGACGGTCTAATTCTATTAAATCTGAACGTTCGACCGCCGGATTTCCTCCGCCTGTGGACTCACAATATTGAATCAACCCCCAACATGAGCATATCATTAGCTCTTCGTCGCATCGGGCTGTCGAAGTCACACGGATGAGGGCCTCTAACGGTTTTTCTATTGGTATAGTTGATCTTGTGGCTCCTGAAAACCCCCAAGGCGAGGTCCTCGCTTTCAGAAGCTCTCTCAGCCCGATCGCCGCCTTGGCTCAGCAGTGGCGCCTCCAATCTCAGGGTTCCGGCCGGAATTTTTTCAATCCACCACCACCAACGGATTTGCAGGATCCAAAAACCCTAGAGTAGTGTTGTCCAGCAACATACATATCCACCACACAGGCACCGTAGGGGATTCGAGCCCTAACAGCCCGTTGTCGCCTTCTCCGGCTGCTCCACTGCTGTCAGCCGCCGTACCACCTCCGGCAGCCGCTTCCATGGACCCGATGGGACTT